ATGAGACCCTGACATTTGATACAAAGTGGATGAATATGGACAAGGTAATGCTAAGTAAAGCAAGTTAGACTATGGAAGACAGACATTGTATGTCCCCACTCAGTATATACCGAATGCCAGCACTTCATGGTGGAAACTGAAGACTGGAACGTACACTAGCAGAGACAGAAAATGTAGATAGCAGAGACTGTATAGGAGGGTGTGGACAACTGGGGGTGGGAGAAAGGGGATCAGGATTTTTTTTTTAATTTAGCAGACACAGAATGGAAAGTTATTGTATCAGTAATGTCTTTTACTTGCTTGCTAAGCAATGCATTTATGCTTTGAGAATCCATCTCTTATGCTGTATGTTATGAAGATATATAATGGTTAAATGCAAATAAAAAATACATGTAAACAAAAAAATTCAATGGGGCAATACACGTACCTTCCTCCCTGTACTCACAAGGCTGCTGACAGTACAGTGCCCCGTGGGTCACGGGCAGGGAGCGGGCATTCCATACCAGGGCACTTGTATTTGCCATTGCTTCATCAGTAAGGAATTACAGCCACTGTGCCCTGCCTGGTACCTACTCCCATTCCCACCATAATATTGTGGTGTGTGTGTGTGTGTGCGTGTGTGTGTGTTCCCCGTTTTCTGACACAGACCTTGTAAAGGCCTTGGAATTTCTGAAATGATACAGTCTTTGGTTATGGAGAAGTATCTTTCAACCATACTTGAGAGTATGGTATGAGGTGGATCTTGACAGTCGGGGTAGAGGCAGGTTGTCAGAAAAACCAGTCTATGATTAGAGTCAGAACTTTCAGCTCCATCCCTGACCTCTGGGGAAGGGAGAGGTGCTATGGATTGAGTCAGTCAACAGTGACCAATGAAGATTTCATCAGTCAAGCCTAAAGTAGTGGAACCTCCACTGAAGCCTTAAACAGCAGGGCTGGGAGAACTTGTGGATCAGTTAACACATCCTCACACTGGGAGGAGCTGGCAAAAGTTTGTGTACTCAGGACCTTCCCAAATCTCGCTGCATGTACCTTTTCATTCATATCATTTATAATATCCTTTATTATAAACTACTAAATAGAAAATGCTCCCTCGTAAAATATAAAAATGTGATCTCAAAATGGAGTTTCAAATCAATGAAATCAGAAAAATTAGTAATTTGGAAAAATAGGGAGCTTTGATTCAGGAGTAAAATGCCAGAATAAACTCCAAATGTATAAGAAATCTAAATGTAAATCATTAAAAAGTACAATATAAGGAGAAACTTAGCTGAATTTTTGTATATCCCAAGTCTGGGAACTCAACAATAACTAAGGATAATCCAAAATCCACAACACATTTAGGAGTGACAAGAGACAAATGAAAACACAGGGAGAAAATTTGCAAAATATCCCATAAAGAACAAATATTTCATATAAAGAGTTTTTAAGGATAAATATAAAACACGTAGTGATGTTCAAACGGCAATGAGACATTTAATGCTGAGACAGTAGTTCTTATGCACCATTTCTCACTATGGCGAACTCAAGGTCCTTGGAGAAATGACCAATTCCAGGCCTGAGAGAGGGCAGGTATGAGGTGAGCCAGCTCATCTTTTTTCGTGTGTGCCAGAAAGTAAGGCAGTTCAAAGACTATTAGAGAACTGTCCAAAGGATAAGGAAGTCACTTACAGAGTCATAGTGGCCAAATTTGGCAAAAATAAGCATAAAGAAGCCAGTAATAAATTACTCAACACTAAAAAATAAAAAAGAAAGAAAAATGCTTCCTGAATTCTGTGAGTCATTTGATCAAATTATTGAGTCCATGGAAGGAGATCACATAGACCTTTAATTTGTAACTGATCAAAAAACACTGAGACCCTGGCATTGATAGGCAGTGGATGAATATGAAAATTTATTGCTAAGTAAAGCAAGCCAGACTATGAAAGAGAGGCATTGCATGTCCCCACTCAATATATACCAAATGTCGGCACTCAACGGCAGAAACTGCCATTGAGCGTCTGGAGGTACAAAGGCATGGAGAGCAGCCGTGGATACTAGAGAGTGTGGGAGGAGGGCGGGAAATGGAAGAGAGTGAGACAGAGGGGATCAAGGGGGAAAAGAAAGGAACAAAATAGTTAAGGGACACAAAAACGGATAATGATCCTGTGAGGACAAATGGTAATAGCTTTGAATCAATGTATAGAGCATTCAGGATGGAAAATTCATTGGGTATGCTGTAATGCTACACAGTGATTTAATATAAAAATAATAGATAAATAAATTGCTATATAAAAGACAGAAACAGAAAGAAAAGTAAAGGAGGCCCAGGACTTGCAATAGGCATCTGAAGCGGGCAGTCTTGTGGGACAGAGCCCCTGACTTGTGGAATCTGATGCTGACCCCAGGTGGCTGGTGTCAGAGTTCAACTGAATCAGATCAGACTGGAGGAGATTGAGCTGTCACAGAATGTATCACCTGTGAGAGAAAAATCCTTGCACGCATGGTGTCAGATTGTTCTGTAGGTACAAACAGATCCTAGAGTCCCTTCTTCCACAAGATGCCTGGAGAGCTTGTAGCCCTGCTTCCTGGCTCTCTGTGACCTGGGGCCTTGTCTAAACTCTGTGGTATGAGAACACGCAGGTGCCGTCATCACTGGCTTGGGCTCCCTCCCAGCCCAGAGTCCCAGTCATCCAACTCCTGTCCTCCCTGGAGCCCTGCGTACTGTCCATTGGCACAGCCTGCACCCTGCACCTCCTCGCCTCCTCCCTGCATGGATTGCCCTTGGCAAATAGCAACGTTCTGTTACTGCTCTGAGGCTGGTGCCAACATAGCCTCCTTCCAGAGTCTACTAAGTCTGTCTCCTTGCTGGCAACGTTAGTGACACATCCATTCGGGGTCCCCAAACCACACACAGTATCTGTGTCCATGTCTGCAACCTTGCCAGGCCCATGGAACAGAATGAATTATGCCCAGAGCAGAGTGGCAGAGGGTCACTGTCCTAAATACCGTGCACATGCAACCTCCTTTTATCCTCCCCACAGTGCCCTTCACACATGAGAAACCAGGCACTGAGAGACGGAATGCCTGCCCCTGGCAGATTTGGGACTGCACTCTGGCAGACACCGACTCTGACCACTACTCTCCATGTGACACAGGACAGCACACACAGGTCTACTAAATCACTGCATGGACCCACCGAGTCCAACCTTGCTTTGCAAATGAGTCAACAGCCTTGGGGAGGTGGTGCAAACTGCTCCAGGTGGGTCACCACCTCACCTTTCATTGTTCTTGCACCTCATTGGTCCCTCCACTCATTCCAACACTCCTTAGAGCTGAGTGGGTGCTGGGAAGGGCTTGAGGCCACTCGAGCTTTGTGTTCCTCCTGGGGTGCCACTGAGTTTCCAAGGCTAACTCCTTTTGCTATCTTTTTTTTTTTTTTTTTTGAGAGGTTTTCACTATAGGGCACATGCGCTCGCCAGACAGACAGAGAGACAAAGAGACAGAAAGCGAGAAATCACCCCCCAGAGGGATGGTCACGCCACAATCCCTTCTCCTCCATTCTCCTCTCGGGATCTTGGGCACACACGCACACGCGCTCGGCATGAGTTTTAAGCCACCGGGTCCGGGACGCGAACCACGGTCGACTACGTGGGAGTCCAGCAACATAGCCATTACACTAACTGCTGGTTCCCTCCTTTTGCTATCTTTACAATAGGATCTGAAGCAGAGGTCTTTATCCCTGGTCACAGGTGAGGCTCATCAGGGAAGCTTTTTCTTTTATTTTAACTCTTTTTATTTATTTATTTTTGGAGAGCTTTTTCCTGTAAGGTGTGTGTGTCTTGTTGGAGAGACAGAGACAGAAAGTGAAAAATCATTTCCCCAGAGACGATGGCCACGCCACAATCCCTTCTCCTCCATTCTCCTCTCATGATTTTGGGTACACACGTGCACACACCCAGTATGAGTTGTAAGCCACCGGATCAGCGACTCAAACCATAGAAAACTATGTGAGAGTCCAGTGACATAGCCATTACGCCATCTGCTGGTCACCCAACGTGGATTTTGAAAGTCCTATGGATGATCTTAAATGTCCAGCTAGCGTTGGAAACAAGCGGATTTAAAGGAAAGAGGTGCCAGCTTGAGATGAGACAGTGTTTCAAGAACCACTCCGAGCACTGAAGTGGCTCACCTGCCTGTGACCAGACTTCATCTTAGCATAATTTGCCTCTTGCTAATATAAAGACAAACGTCCTTGCCTCCAGACCAGCCAGCACATGGGATGTGAAAGTGTTCCAGAGACTAAGTAAAAGTAGCACACATTTGTCAGTATTATTAAACACAGATCTTAACATGACTTGGATTTTTTCTGGCAAGAGCATGTTACTCTTATCATGGCCCTCATTGACTCTAGTCTCTCTGCCACATCTGAGGCCATCTGACCACAAGAGCAAAGCCTTGTCACTGTCAGTGAGAAGCACACAGTTTGTAGTCAACAAGTGTTTGTTCAATGGACAAACAAGCTCAGCCATGGTGGTGCAGGTGGTGGGTGTCACCGTGTGAAGCTGGAGCTGTATGGGAAGCCCAGACTCAGACCCTGGGTTCAACGGGTGACATCTGTGTTCAGCTGTGATTCTGGATGGCTCAAAGGCTGGGGAAAGGAGGAGGTGTGCTAAAGTCCAGTAGAGGGTCTCTCTCTTACACTCTTGAAATAAATTTGTTAAATAAGCTTGAGGAAAAAAGTGCTAATAAATAAATGTATATAAGCTTCAAAGAAATAGAGACCTGTTAACCTGTTTATTTTTCCCATAATTCCTAGCACAAGGCAAGGCACATGCCAACAGACATGCTCACATGATTAAGGACCACAGAGTACAAGAATATTTCTTCAGTTTGAGATCTAGAGTGACATTATGAGTTAAAGTCATGTCCTTTCACTTATTTCTGTGGCATACAAGCAATTTTGTTGGCCTTGCAAAACTATCGCCATTTTTTTCAGACCCATGGGTCAGTTATCTAATTACCTGTAGCTCTGAACACAGCTGAGAGAGCGTTTCTTCAACAGCAAGTGCCTCTAGGAAGAGAAAAAAAGACATACAATTAAATGAGCACACACTGAAATGCAGCAGTTGCTAATGAAATGAAAAAGCATTTGTTTCAAGCTGGTGAGACAAACACAACTGCTGAGGAATCACCTACTTATTCTAACTTCCCAAAGGGTTCATGCTAGTTGGAGCCATGGACTGAGCACTTGGTGAAGACCGCTGTCATCTCACAGACACATTCCGGAGACAGTAGAGCCTCATGCTCACACAGCACTTCATGGGGACCAAAGGGACTCTACGTCTGCTTGTATTTTTTAAACACACACAGATCCTTGTGTGTAACATATTTGGGGCATAGATTTGTATCTTCATCCTCCAGGTGAAGAGTAAGAAGCCCAGGGAAGTGAAGCAGCAGAGCTGAGCCACCCTCCCAGTCTCACTGACTCTGAAACCAAAGAACACCATCATCCCAGGCTGCCATCTGATGGTCAACCAGGGGGCTTCCGGCCATTTGTGACAGAACAGTCACAGCTGTGACAGTGCTCGAGCTCTCCCCTAGGTCCGTAATGCTGCGGTTTTTCAGCTGCACATGGCTAAGACACGGGTTTTCATTAAAAGCTGTCCCCAGGTGAGCAGCTCAATCCTTGGACATTTAAGGACCTTGGCTGATACCCTCATTGGCATACAGCTTGCCACCAGCTATTGTCTGGTCCTGGAATTCCACAGGGACTAACAGACTGTGTCCCCAGTGTCTAGTACAGTGCCTGACACACAGGAGGTGCTCAGTAAAATGTGATAGTGAATGAACAAAAAAAAAACTTATTCAGGTAAAAAAAAAAATATATATATATAAAGCTAGATAATATATCAGAAAGTCAATTGCTACTGAACAATCTCCATTTCTCCTTTATGTTATGAAAATTGGCTCTGATTCTATGCATGTGTTTATCACACACACACATAAGATTTGACCCTGGAAAAAATTTAGTGATTGTGTGAGTCAAAGAGTAGCCCTGAGGACAGGACTTGGTATCATGTTATGATTGATAAAGCTAGACGGTCCAGTAGCCTCAGCATGAACTCAACAGTGAGAACACTGCATGAAGCTTCACTCCTTTACTCTGCATGCCCGGCACCGGGTCTAAGGGACCTGAAGGACCCTGTTCTAGTGTGGAATTGAAACAACAAATAAATTGTCATTATGTGATGTGTTCAGTGCCATGTGACACCGCACAGGCCGTGAACAGCACCAAAGCCATGATCATCTCAGCAGCTGAAGTCAAAGGTCAAAGGCAGACTGGTCAAGGCACCTGTGGGCCGTGATGCTGAGAGAGGAGAAAGCCTTGAACGCCGGCCCGAGGACTCGGCCTCTGTGCTGGAGACAGCGGGGACTCTATGACGGGCCAGGAGGACACTGTTGTAACTGCCTGTGACAGTGTAAAGGACTCTGTTCCCCGTGGTCACTGCAGGGTCCCAGGCTCCTGTCATTGTCCTGCCACACGTGGCTGCATGTCCCTCAGCTGCCATGCTTCCTCTTTCAGCTTCACTTCCATCTGTCACCTGTCAGTCAAGACCATTCAGGTCTAGTAATTTTCATCATGTCTAAGTTTTAGAAAAATACATATATAAGAATCAATGTGTCCCCAGGACATTAAATATGATGGATATGAAGAGATTTCGATAATCATCCAGATTATACATATATATATGCATGTGCACACATACATATATATGTATATACCCATATATCTGCATTTGTGTGTAGTTCTTTATTGGGATTGTTTCACACTCTTGTAAGTTGCAATTCCATAATTACAGCCTAATTAAGGAAAGGCTATAAATTAGCGTGTTTCTTCAGGAAGCAACTTAGCGCCATGTACCAGAAGTGCCAGGTACACAGAAGAAACTCAATGAATATTCGGTGGGAGGGCGAGTGAGAGTGAAGGCACATGCCTTGGCATACTGATGTCCCTTACTACCGTTACATCCTCAAGGTTCTCTCCTGCTGGAAGCAGGTGGAGTAGCAGAGCGCTGGTACTGTGGCATTGTCACGGGTACGCTGACTGTCCTTGATCCAAGGAGAGACGCAGGCTTCTGGGATGGGTTTTCCCCATCCCAGTCTCTTACCCAGCTCCATATGCGGCAGCTCGGGGATGTCCCTCATGATGGCCAGAAAGTGGAGGCGGAGTCCCTGGTAGGCATGCAGGAGCAGGAAGCACAGGTCCCGGTGCCACTTGTGTGCATGTTGCATGCAGTTCTCGGAGGGGACATAGAAGCTTCCCTGCAAGCCAGAACAGAAACAATGGTTGAGGATGCTGCACCTAGTTGGGCAGCACAAGGATCCAATCCTCCATCCTGCTCTGGCGTTCACGAAAGGTTTGTAGGTTCAGGAAAGCAGGTGGGTCCTTAGAAAACTGGGATGTGGTTGAAGATTCCAGTTAGAGAGAGATCTAAGTTTAAATCTCTTCTTTGTCCCGCAACATGAGAAAAACATTAAAATCTGGCATGCTTCTGTCTTCAGCTCAAATTAAAACAATAATAATAATAGTGACTGGTGATGATTATGATGTTGACAAAGATGATGATGATGGCACTGACCATGTAGGTCTGTGACAACTCACTGACACCCACTTTAAAGCCTCTATCACCTGCCACTTCCAAGGGGCACTGTAAGAAGAGGCCATAGAGCCAAGCGTCTGTGCAGCTGATAGGACGCTGGGCTGTGGAGCTGAATGCCACATGCCCACCGTGGTTCAAGGATTCGGCCTGGTCAGCCTGAACACTTGCCAGAGACACCTACAAGTGTCAAGGGTCCTGGTGAGCTAGGGGACTGGGGGAAGGCAGCTGTGTTGGGACCGGCCCTGTGGGGTCTCTCTCTCTCTCTCTCTCTCTCTCTTATGCATACATTCTCTATCATGAATTTAAGAAATAGCGAAGAGAACAGATGGAGGTGGGCTCCTTTTCACATGGAGATAAGGAATTTAGAAAGACCTTTGTCAAAGGTAGTGAGTAGTGGGTAGGAGAAAAAAAAGAGTTGTAAACTAGGAAGAGGTTGTGAGGTAAAGTATGAAATGTTGAAAGTGTGGAAGGCTGTAAGAGGTCCCAGTACAGTGTGGGAACACTGCACATTGTATTTGGCCTGTAGATGTACAATGTATTAACCTGGTGAAATTACAAAGTGGTGCTCCCAATGAGGAAAATGCATCCAACTCCACAATTTATTTGATGAAAAGGAAGAAGCAAGAAAAAGTTGAATTTCTTGCCCACTCGAAAGAGAAGGACATTCTAGGGTGAATTTCAGGAAGGATTTTTTTTTATTTTAGCAGAAAAGTAATCCCAAGGGAAAGGGCAGAAGGGTGGGGGAGACGGCAGTGCAGTGTACAGTGTGCTGGGAAACTCAGTGGGTAGGACCTGCCTGTCCATCTATAGCTCCCAGGGTCCTAATGAGAGGAGGCTATGGCCCTCCATGCTCCCTGCTGCTTTGCCTGTCCTGCTCGAAGTAATTCAAGGTTGGTGTGGAATTCCACCCAAGTGGCTTCTGTAAGTTGCTCTATGCAGCCAGTGATGGTGGCAGTCTCCTTCCTGGATTGATTTCCTTTCTCCTTGTTTCCATCTAAGGAAGCTGAATTGGTCCAGTAAAGGCAGGACAGGTCTGATGGTTCAATATGCATCTGTATTCCATCTGCACTCCTAATGGTGTCATGAAGGCAGACAGCGACAGGTGTAATTATATCCTCTCTAACCACCACATCTATCGCAATGATTGTGTCATGTGTATAAGGTAGAAGAAGTTAGGTATAATTACAAATTAGGAAACCTCAGATTTGCCATTACCTAGCCCTGAGACTATCTTAGGTCAGCTCCCTAGGAAACAGATTATAGGAAGGTCACTGGTGTGCCCTCAGGACCAATATCTTTGGGGTAGAGGATCAGGACAGGATTTGCAGTGCAGGATTTGCACTGCACTGTCCTGCGGGAATGACAGAGACCTTAGCCAATGCCCAGGGGCTCCGAGCCTGCAGAGATGTTTGAGGCAAGAGCCAGGTCTTTGTCCCAATGCATTTATCCTTCCTGGGCATGGATTAACTCAGGGAAGAGGTGTGACTTTAGGTGAGTAGCTCTTTCTGGACAGTGCAAGCCCCAGGCTCAGCTACTTGGCCAACTTCCCCAGCAGTGTGAGAAGCAAAAGACTCAGGTCTGAAGGCGAGGTTTGTGTAGCACACCATGGAGTTCACTGGAGAGACCCTCGGGAGCAACTGTTGTACCCTAGGGTCTCAATTTCTTAGCTCTGAAACCCAGCCTTGGATTATGAACTTGCCTTATCCCTTCTGATATGAACATAAGACATTCAACAAGGTTTGTGAACAAAAAATTTGTTCATTGTTTACCAGAAAATTCAGCCAGCTAGCATATCTTTGTTCACATGACATTCAAGGTAACTGATATATCCCCATTTCTCACCTTTCTTAGTGTATTAAGATGGAATAGAGGGACCGGCAGGTGGTGTGGTGGTTTAGGCACTGGATTCCCATATGGCCAACCAAGTTTCAAGTTCCAGACCTGGCAGTTTGTTCTCTCATTTTCTCTCTCTCTTTCTCACTCTGGTCAAATTAAAATAAAAGTAAAATTAAATACATAATTCTTTTAAAAAATATTGAAGACAAAGAAGTCAATACCGTTGTAGAAAGACTATCAGCAGAGAATATACCAGAATCTCCAGGTCTGTGGAACAAGAAGGAAGCCTCTGGATATGATTTATCTGGATAGTCCCATTGCACTTCATCTCATCTGATCTTCAAGAAGTACCATAAAAGGCAGATTATTTCATTTTGATTTCCAAATACAATATGAGGGAATTCAATAACTCATAGGAAAATGGCATTAAAATATGAGTTTATTGTGGTGTAATTTTTTAAAAATACATGCATAGTTTTTGAATAATATGCCATTTCCACGAACTTTGTGAAGTTCCTCATATAGATATACTGTGTGTGTGTGTGTGTGTGTGTGTGTGTGTGTGTGTGTGCATGTGTGTGTGTGTATGTATTTATGTCACTAAAGGAAGCACTATCTAAGGTACTCTTCTCCCCCGAGTCCAAGCATTTTGTATAGGTCCTTCTAAAAAACTCCCATATGCATATGTGCACATTACTGTATATGTGTATTCCTGAAAACACACAGAGGCACACTCACAAGTTAGAGAATACTCTGAACATTTCTGTTTCTTGCATTTTTCACTTAACACATCTTGGAGGTTTTCTGAAGAGACCAACCCCTATTTCCATTTCATGGACCTAAAGACTGAGACTCAAATAACTGAAGAACATGCCCAAGGTCACATTGCTTGCCAACAGCAGAAATGATTCCTAAAGCCCAGGTGCCAAGACGAGGCAGCCATGGCTCTGAAAACCATGCCTGACAGAAAACAGATGCTCGACAGAGGTCTGCTGGCTTTGACTGAAGCATTAATGTAAGTCCTGTGGAGTCTCCATTAGCTGTGACCAAGCAGAAATGAAAGCAAAAAGCAGATTAACAAAGACATCAAAGCCACTAGTTACAAGTCTCCGCAGTTTGTTCGCTTCAGGCAGCCTGGAGAGCGCTGCTTTCTGGAACCTGCTACTTGCTTACGACTTCATTTTGCTATCACCATTGCTTATTTTGAAAGTGCTTCAAGGATCCACAGGAGAGGGCAAGGAATCTATGACGCTGTTACTAAGTTTGACTTTTTAAAACTAGACTCCAATTCACGTGGGTTTTTCAAGAGAGAGATAAAAAAAACTTTGGGGGATCTTTATGTGGCTGACCTAGTATGATTATATAGAAAGCAAGAAGCCAAAACGCTAACCAAAAGAAAAATCCTGAAAAATATATGGCTGGAGAGTATTAAGAACAAAACAGCAACCTTCCCTTCTGCATAAATTTACTCAACAGCACGACTCTCCGATAAACCGCAGAAAGCCCCACTAGCCAGCCCTCAAGGCCTGCAGAATCTGTGTCAGAGTGGAAGTACCAATGTACCTCCGTTAGAGTTGCATGAAGTGGATTGAAAAGCCATGCACGAGTTCCCTACACTAAGCAAGCACACTTCAGCAATCTGTTTTCTGACAGTCTGGTGTGAAAACTTTAAATAATAAAAGAAGAATCAAGAAGGGCAGCAGACCATTAAGCTGACAGGAACTCAAATGGGCCATGCCTGGCTAGGGCCCACCACAAAGATGCACTCAAAGGACAGGAGCCTCTCCCTTTCTGTGGCTGAATTAACTCTAACATACATAGGAAAATATCTGCATGGGAGGGAGGGAGCAAAACACAGAGTCTAGAGTGTGGGCTTCACGATAAACAGTCTTGGGACCGCTAGCTCAAAGTCAAGTTCGAACTCATACTTTGCCACTTATCCCAATGTCACCTTGGGGCTCCTCCTCTCTGCACTATAGGCACATCTTCTCTAAAGAGGGGACAGTCATGGTACTGTGATCACAGCTTTGCTATCAGTAAAACACTGATGTAGGTCACATCCCGGGACAAAGTCAGTGCATGCTGTTGAGGACAGGGGTGACAGCATTGAGTGGTCCCCCAAACTGGGAAGGATAATATGACCAACTGTATGGCAACAAACAAGATAACTTGGAGGAGATGGGCAAATTCCCAGATGCACATAATCTACCAAGATTGAATCAGGAGGACAGAGAAAACCGGAATAGACCCCTAACAAACCAGGAGACTGAATCAGTAATACATAACCTCCTGAAAAAGAAAAGCCCAAGTATAGATGGCTTTACTTCTGAATTCTACAAAACTTTTAAGGAAAAGTTAATACCTATCCTACTCAAATTATTTCTGAAGATTCAAAAGGAAGGAAACCTTCCAAATTCATTTTATGAAGCCTCCATCATCCTCATTCCCAAAACAGATAAGGACATGACAAAAAAAGGAAAACGACAGACCAATATCATTGATGAATATAAAGTTCTCAACAAGATACTCACAAATCCTAGCCAACAACATATAGCGATTTAATGTATGAATAATAATTAATTAATTAATTTTCAAAAAAGATTATTCATCACGACCAGGTAGGCTTTATGCCAGGGATGCAAGGGTGGTTCAGCATATGCAACACCATAAATTTATACACCATATTAACAGAAAGAAAGATAAAAACCATATGATCATTTCATGCAGAGAAAGCATTTGATAAAATACAACATCCTTTTATGATTAAGGCCCTCAGTAAGATTGGTATAGAAGGGTCATTTCTCAACACGATAAAAGTCATCTATG